TCTTTTCAGCATGGAATAAACCTATTACTTTTTCCTTTGCAGCCCACGCATGCTGACACAGCTAACCACCTGGACTATTATATATGGCAACTCTCTTGTCTGGTCTTTGGATGCACTTGTGGATCTGAGGGGTGATAAGAAGCTGTGGTAGGAGAAAAGGGGTCCTAGCACCCTCTATAATTGATATGCAACATACTGTAGCTGTGAACAATGCAAAAGTAGCTCCTGAATTTAGGCATCATGCAAACTGTGACATCGCCTTTTTGATGATATCCTAAAAAGTTCTTTGTGCACTGAAAACATTAAGGTTTTTGTTATATTCAATTATCATTAGCTGCAAAATATTATAAAGTTGTAAGACAATGATAAAAGAAAGTTCTATGAACAGAAATTTAAAACCCAGGCAAATAATTCCATACACTTCTAGTAATTTCAGTTATTGGGAACTTTAAAGGACCAACAAAAGGGCTTAATAAGTTAAGAAAACAACTTAAAACGCAATTTACCATGTTTCTGATTTAATAGTCACAGAACAGGAATTTTAGTTTATCTCACAAAATAGATTCCAAGGGTTAATGGCACATGATGCATAAAAGACTTAATAAAATTAATGAACTCCATGTGTCATTCATCTAAAGTTGTCTCAGGCAATACACTAACTCATTATGTGGTCATTCTTTTCATGTCATATTTTCAGTAACCCAGTTCAATAATGTGGTCATCATGCTCACATGTTTGAATTACAAATTTCTTCCAACAAGTACATAAGGCATTATGTCTTTTAACCTGTATTTACTTTACCTGGTTACATAATAAGTCTTTGCAATGTTGAGCTTCAAATAACATCTGCTTTACGCCCTCTGTAACTATTGTTGTTCTGCATTTACATCAGATACTGTACCATATTTCAGGCTTCACTAAAAACTTAGCCCTCCACTCAGGCGCATGTGATCACTCCAAGACAATTTATACATTAAAATGTTCAACAGGTTTAGAATTACTTTATCCTTTGGTGTGACTGCGATCTTAAAATTTGTGATACTAATTATGTGATCACTAGAAAGACAATTTACATCAATTAACAAATGTTATGTTGTGATATAAATGTTTTGTTTCTTATGCTGATTCACCTTATTGGGCCACAGTTTTAATAACCCTAATAATGCCTAAATATTAGATTTAAAAAAAAAATTAACATTTGTTCTAAATGTTTTAAATGCTGTTTAGCTTTTTTCCATGACTTCATTTAGACTTAAGTCTTGCTTCTTGTTTATTATCAAATGGAGTGAATAAAAAATAGGTTAAGAATACGTCTAAAGGTGGTACAATGTGCATGGAAACACTGTATCAGTCAAGCTGACAGAATCAGTGGATGGTTTTGAATGATTTCAGCTAGTCCCTCTGAGATTTAAACAGTTTCACTTTGGAGACTATATCTTGCACTTCATGACTCAGTTGCCCTGTTTCTCTCTCCTACCTAACGGCTCTTTGTTCATCAGAATTCTTCAATTTGGTGTTTGTAAACCAATGACTCATGGGGCATTTGTTGTGTTGCCTCAGAATGGGGGTGGAAGTTATTCATCAGATTGCAAGAAGGATCCAGAGTCCTGTAGGATCTAACCTGCAGTTTTGTGACTGATGGTTCCCTGTGTCTCTATAGAAGAATATTTAATACTAGTATAGAATAGTTCTGTATATGGTCTGAACTGTACTTCACAAGCAGCAAGATACAAGGGTCTCAACAAATGGTTAGCTGCATGTGTGACTGTCGTGGTTTCGCAAGGAGGGTTCATCCCACAACACCTGGGCGCGAACCCAGGTCTTTGGCATAATGCAGCTGAATGATCGAATGAGCTCAAGGGGAGACCTCCCTCAGCCCAGGCAGCTAAAGGTCCCTGCTATGTGCAGAGAGAGCGATGACGTTACCGTGCCCAAACTAGCTGTGCTTCTCCTCCCCTGCTGACTTCACCTTGGCGAAGGACACTCCCATCCGGGTCACAGCACCAATGTGACCGTCACAGTTCTGCACGGACTCCTGCCCTCACCGCTCCACCCCCTGGTTCATCCCGCAACACCTGGGGCGCAAACCTGGGTCTCCGGCATAACACAACAGGGAACCAGCGGCATGAGCTAAAGGAGACCTCCCTCAGTCCAGGATGTTGAGGTCCCTGCTACGTGCAGGGAGGGCGATAAGGTCACCATGCCAAACCAACCAACTAGCTACTGGCTCCGCTACACCTGGAAAGATGATGCAAAATCCACCGCACATTTGGCTTCACTTACTTTATCCTGAGAGCAACACTAGTTAAGAATGCAATATCCGGTCTATTTCTTCATAACGTACTGTATAAAATTAATCAACCTTTGGTTCCCAAAGTGCTATTTGTTAACTGGTGCCTTTTTTTAAAGCTTTAGAGATTTATTAAATACATACAGTACAATTGCTCAGCCACTTACTGTGTGTATTAGACATGCTGTATGGACTCCCATTCTAGTGGAATTTGTGAAGTCATTTAGATAATTTACCCTATCCAAAAAGAGATGTTTAATGACTATCATTCAGTACCATAGTTTTTTACAGAAACCTTTCTTATTACATGGAACACCTTACAACCCTTCTCAATTATTCCTTTGTTTCATTTTTAAATATTAAGCATCAAAATAACTGAACTCTAAGCAGAGGCGTGACAAGAAAAAAACATTTCTTTGGCTGACATGTTGAAAATAACTCTCTTGACAGAGCAAATAGCAACCTGACAGAACCCCATAACACTGATACAGGGTTCTTCAAGACAAAAGCTTAAAATGTATGCACCTTTGGTTGATCAGGTTGGTTGAAATATAGGGAATGAAGCCTTCCAAGAACCACTGACCTAGGGTTTGATGAATTCCACAATAGACTGCAGAAAATCACTGCTCCGTCTGGTCCATAGCTGAGGAGAGGGCGCTGGGATTGGCGACGGCTGTGTTTGGCACTCAATGGGGGAATTGTGAGCATCAGTGGTTGGGAGCGTTTCTGTGTGGGCAGCAGGAAGGGAAAAAGTGGAAAAGAGAATATCAGAGGCAGTCTGGGGCTGAAGGTATGGTGCTTTGGATGCCTTGTGAAAAATCAAGCAGAAAGGGAAGAAAGAAGGAAGTAGAGCAAGTGTGGACTGCATAAAGGAAGAGAGAAGGGATGGCAGGAAGTGAATCTATTGGAAGGAGGTTTGTCTTGAGGTGGCGAAGATGTTATTGGGTGAGGGCTATACACTTCATTTATTAATATGTAGAGTTTGATGTATCTGATGTACTGTATATGGAGAAGGTAAATGGTAAGTGGGTGAATTGGGGGGCTGTTCGCCTCCAAATGGACAGAGACAGAATAACACTATTAGAACAGTCAGTTCACAGACTGTAATAACAGGTAATAACCTGTTGTTGGCCACAGTCACAAGACCAAATAAACAGAAAAAAACAACAACCGCAGGACTCCAACTCCTCTCAGCTATTTACAGTAAGACCGGTTCAGGCACCTCACCCTTGGAGTCCACCTTGTCAAATTCCCCACTTATCTTTATCTTGGGATTTTTGTCTCATATCCTCACCAGTGCAGGTATCCTGCCCAAAGCAATTGCAATCATGCACAAAAAAAGGAAACTCATGCATGCCGTATGAGTTGTAGACCCAATAAAGACATCAGTTTTCACTAGAGGTTATAGCCCTTTCCCCCATATTCAAGTCACCAAATTCCTACGATATCATGTAATTTATGTTGCACCTATGATGTGTAAGACATTTCACCTCTTCCAGCAGCAACCTTTTCCCATGAGTCTCGCATCTACTATAGGTACTGACCAGACTCACACCTGCTTAGCTTCAGTGGGTTGTCAGTTGTGAGTTGCAGGGTGATATGGCTTCTGGTCATATCAAAGAAAGAAAAGAAAGTTATATAGAAAACATAAACTGTACAGAGGCCAGGAAGGGTATCTGGAACAAATAAAATTTGAGAATCTGTGTGTTATTTCAATTATAATTGTGTATGTGCCTCCTCTGACTAGAAAGCCAGCAGCTATCACCTGTTAAAGCAAATTCACACATAAATACATGACAAGTTCCATACTTTCTAGCTTGTAAGATGTTAATTATCTTCCTCTGTGAATATTACAATCTCCCCTCAAGATGCAGTGGCAGAGGAAATGCCACGAAGCGATTTTCAGGACCCTATGCAGATTATAAAATTCGGAAGGGAATGCAACGAACACGGGCAAAGAAGACTTGGGTCGGGGCTGGTAGACGAACAGGGGGGCATGTCAGCGGTGTACTGGTGCATGGGGGGGGCCTGGCCAAGGCAAACAAGTCCAGAGAGAGTCCGAAGGGAAATCCAGAATATGCAGAAGTCCAGAGCCGGGTAATACAATCCAAGATGGAGACGACAAAAGTTACAAGGTAGAGCTGGAGCGTCCTTGAGGGGAGGGGCTTACAATCGTGACAGGAAATGCATTAAATTCAATTCTTGAGTTAATTTAAAGTGGTTTTGCTGTTCTAGTTAAACATTTGATTTGATTGAAACCTGGGGAAAATGTGCCCACTAAACTATTTTGAATTCATTTTAAATTTCACTAAATATTGTTTTCTTTTTGCTGTCACTTCATTCACAGCACTGAAATAAGAAGGTAGATAGATTAGAATATATAAAGAAGTGAAAACAGTTTCCTCAACTATAGACAGGACACCCAACAGCGGGTTTGTCAGCATCCTTGAGTTTCAGGTCCACTATTTCTGCTGATTCTATCTGATTACGCCTGATTTGTTGAAGGATGCCTTGGGCTGTGAAAATTTGACGCAAATCATGATCAAATTCGAGGGGAAATAATATGACGAATAGAAGCACGCATACTTTGCCTGCCTTTTTTTCTTGCTTTCCAATTTAATGGATGTATTCATCATAGATGTCTAAAAGGCTTTCATTGCTCAGAACATTCAGCATATAAATAGCTAAATAGCAGCCCAACAGACAGCAACGTCTACCAACAAGATCTCAAGAATGTCCAGGAAAATGAGACAAGGTAGTTTTAAGAAAACTTTTAGTTATTTGAGCTAAATTAAATAAAATGTATTATATATGTACAGTATTTATGCATACATGCAAAGGACTTTAACTCTTTTTTCTTCTCTTTTACAGTATTATTTTTGGTTCTGATGTGCTTGCAACTACAGTTAAAAGTATCCTCTGCACCTATTTGTGTCCATGGACATACAGGATGCCACTATCTTTCTGTGTCGGACCTTTTCGATAGAGTCATCCAGCATTCAAGCAGAATGCACAGTCTTTCCAGTGATCTCCATTCAGAATTTGTGAGTTCCGTGCAGTTGATATATTTATTAATTAGGTGTTTGACATGTTGTTCTTGTTGAGCTTTTTGCAGTTATAGTAATTTTTGGATTGTAGACATTTTACTGTACTACACTTTGAAATTTGCTATCAATGCACTGGACAGAAATGAAATAACTTATTCTCTAGATTTACAGAATGTCTTATTTGATATTGTATTTTAATTTCCTCTCAACATAATGCTATCAGGGAATGCATTATTTGTCTTTACCACTCACAGTTTTGTTTTTCACCTGAGCAATTTAGGAATTCCAAAATGTCCAAATGTCATTTAACACAACTAGTTAAGCAAATCCAGTGAAAGTGAAATACTAAGATCACAAACATGATACTTGTCCTTAAATTACAATTGCTTCCTTTTTATTTGCCCTTAATAGTGCATCCTTTTGTCTTGTCCTGCTGTATCATGTTTTGGATGAACTGCTGTGTAGCTTTTTTTCTCTTCACACATTTACAATATATTTGCTCTTCTTCTCTTCTCTCTTCTTTCCTTTCTTACAATGCTCATGGTAAAGGAGAAATACTTTCTCCCAAGCAGAAACCAAGTTGGCAGAGAAAATCGCAAGTGCCACACATCTATGATTTTAACTCCTAATGGCAAAGAGAATGCACAGAGGCTGGCAGTAAGTTCAACCTCTCTTCTAATCCCCTTCTCTGAATTGATTTATTGTTCTGAATTTCAGATGTTTATTTCTTACCCAAGTCAAGCGCTACTGTAAATGTTTGCACAGCTTCCTCACTCACATGTGTTATTTACCAGAGGGAAGAATTGACTCAGGTGATCCTGAAGCTCCTGGTTGCCTGGATAGATCCTCTGTCACAGTTTCATCAGAGCATAGCTCGCAATGAGGATTTCACAAACTTTAGTAGCAATAAGGCTTTGGAAATGAGCGACATGTTGCATGAATTAAAGAATGGGGTGGAGAAGGTGGCAGAAAAGGTAAGATACTTGCAAATTACTGTCTTTTGTTTAGTTTTAGTAAAAACTGAAGAGAACAAATAATAGTTTTAACTGCATTATACTTCATTTCTGTGAGCTCAATATTCAGTGGAAATGTTTCTGGGAGAAAGTACTGTACATGTATAGCCACTATATCTCTTCCAACTTTGCAGATTGGTTTGGTACACTTTTTATTCATTTTTCTTGGCAGATTTACTTAAGCTCTCCTAATATTGATTGGAGATCACATGGACAGCAATTTTCAAGTTTTTCTATGTTCCATAGATTCTTGGCTGGATCTTGATTTGGCCAAACAAGAACATTTTCACTATTATATTCTAAAGGCATTCCAATAGTGAAGCAAAAATATAAAAAGTAAAAAAAATCTATAAGGCATCTGATAATCTGACAATTAAATATAAAATGATAAATTAACCTACAAAAGCTTCATACTCAATAGTTTTTCTGTCAAATTCAAAGGCTGTGAGGGAAATGTCTGCTAAATATAGCCTATATCTTAACGTGTATGATTATGTAATTTTAATATTCTAAAAATAGAGAATAGATAAAAAATTAAGACTTGATATGAGTCATTTCTCAATTATAACATAATTGAGTACAAGAAAGAATTGTTAGTTTTTAGATATGCAAAGCTTTTCTTTGACCTTTTACAAACTTTTGGACTACCTCAACTACATTATTGGATCTTGTTTTAACTTGTTAATAGTAAAAGAATCCATCTAGAGTTCAGATAATATGCTTATATGGCGGACACTATTCTTTTGGAATAAAAATGTTGTAATTTCTCCAAGCTTATAATGCAATTTTTTTTGTCCTTGCAGCTGCAGCTACTTGGAATAATCAGCAACTCAATAAGTGGGCTGTCCTCTGCTGATGCGCTCTTACCTTCCTCTGCCAGCAATGATGCAAGGCCAATGAGTGATTATGAAATACTCCACTGTTTCAGGAGGGACTCCAATAAAGTCCAGAACTACTTGAAAATTCTTAAGTGTAGGATTGTTCCTGAACATGGATGTTAATTTAATTATGTTCCGGTAATTAAATGAAGCTGATATCTGATTCACCGCTGGCGGTTAAGGTCATGTTTGAATTGGGTAAAGAGACTTCCGTGGCATCTTCTTTAGTAATATGGGAATATTGTCTGCATCTTAACTGAATTTCCGTCTTTGGTTGCATTCCTCATTATCAGCTGTAGGACATTTTTTCATTATTTTGGTAACACTTTATTTTAGGTGTGACCTGAAGGTCATGCATTATTGCATTATTGAATAGAGCTTGTTGAGGTAAAACATAAACAAAAGGCTTTAGTAAATAAAATTCTTTATAGTTCTACTGCTGTTTGTACAGTATTTATTTCAATTGAAGAAATGTGAAGTCTGTGTTCTGGAATGAGGTGGGTACAGAAAGAGGTGGAGAGGAGATACAGTATATTGTAAATGAGTATTTAGTGCCAAATTATGAATTACAGAGCAAATTTCACTTCATTCAAGTGCAGAATTAAGAACTTTGGTTTCACTATTGAAAGATTTGTTAAAATAAATACTCATATGCGGTGATGGACTAGCCTCGTGTCCAGGGTGTATTCTGCCTTCCACCTGTTGCTTGGCATGATAAACTCTGATGACAGTCCATAAAATGGATGGATGGAAATTAAAATATGTAAGATCCAGGCATTTCAACCACTTCTCTAACTACCATAACACAATGATGTAAATTAGATTAGCTTGAATTGCTCAGAATCCTTGAACCTGGACACATACTTTTCCATATCTTTCAAATAACCTAATAGCCAAATAGCCTGTCTAATAAGAAGACAATAAAAAAATTCCAATCTAATCCAATCTAACTAGATATTGTAAGTTATCATTGGTTATCTTGTCTCTGACAGCATATTAAAAAGAGGATAATTTAAATATTGCTATTCATTCATTAGGCTGATATTGAGGACACAAACTGCACATATAACTATCATTCTGGAAAAAAATAGAACAAAGGTGAAAAAACATCCTTTTGTGTATAATTGAGTGTATTGGTCACAATGCTGTAGTATTTAAAGAAAATACTATAAATATAAATGCAAACATATTTTGACTCAATGAAAAGCTTTGCACAAACTCAAACTTGAACTGTGTCAATGAGCTAATATTATTCAGGCCAGCTATAATGGTCACATTAATGGTTTCTTATCATTTTTCCTCTGTTCTCCTGAGTAAGTGATCAATACCCTAATTGTAGCAAATGTTGCAATGTTAGGAATATAAGAAAACAATAACCTGACAGCACATACAGTACAAGAAATTAGAATTTAAATATTGATATTCATTAATAATAAGTTATGAATTAATATTCATTAATAAGTTGACATTGAGGACACACAATGCACATAGCTACCATTATGGAAAAAAAAATCACTTTGTACAAAATGGTCACAATGCTACAATATTTGAAAAATACTATAAATACATTCAACTTTTTGGGTCATTAATGAAAAGCTTTGCTTTGCACGTAAATTCAACTCTGTGATTCATAAGGCAAATCACACCAAAACACTATAACAGTGGTTTTCCAAAGTCCCATGTCCCCTAGGTTATTGGAACATAGCCAACATTCATTATGGGCTGCTACTGTATATTACCAAAGTGCTTGACTTTTATTGACCTGTAACAAGCATATTGTTTTAGCTTCTTCATTCATGCTTCATATCTTGTAGAAAAATGAACCTATTCCAACACTGCATAACATTGTGATAATGCTTTGGATGTAAGAGGGATTTTTAGATGACTTTTTTATTACCTTTTGGAGTCCAATTCACTAAATTCAACTTTCCTACACCTTAGCCTGTTACCTGTTGACATTTTGTCATATTATTAAATTATTCAAATGTTCTTATTTTCACAGCATCATTCTGATTTAAACTGTGCAATCTAAAATGTTGTACATTCCAAATGTGTCTTTAATTAACAATATCTAAATATTTATAAATATGTTCAAATTGACTTAGATGTCTTTCAAAATTGTTCAAAATTGTGTTTAAATGGAAATAAACATATAAAGTATACATTTCAGATGTTTCTTTATTACTGTATTTCCATATGGTTACAGACACTAGTTCATACATTACAAAGAAAGCAAATGAGGCATCTGATCATGGGCAAACCAAAACAGTTGAAAAGGGGCTGGCAATTACTGGATATATTCCTACACTTTTACATCATCAAACTGAATGTGTGATGGATTAATATCCCACGTGGAGTGAGGTAAGATTCAACAATCTATAACAGATAGTTGTTTTTAGTATTTGCAATGCGTATGTCTGGTGTCTGCTCTCCAATTTATAATGTTTATTAGCTGTGATTCTATAATAATCTCAGAAGTATAAATCCTAGTTTTCCAAAATCAGTATTTGTCATATTTTTTATTTGTATTACAGGCCATAGAATATAGGTACATAAAAAAACAAGAGGGGGCCATTTGTCTCATCCAGCAGATCTAACCTTGCCAACTGAATGGCTGCCATGCTCTCATAAAAGCCTTACATACAGTATTAAGTAATGTATAGAGTATATTAAAACGTATAGAATGTATTTTACATGTTCTTTTACGTAAAACCTATTATTACAATAAAATAATGATGTGGAAGATTAAATTATGTTTCTTAAATTAAGTAAATTTACCATTTCCAAAATATTCTTAAATTTTAAATGAAAAATGTTACTGTTCTGTAAATCTGTCCAAAGAACAGCAATCAGGTACATTCTTGAACTTGAAGGAATTTTCTACACTGAAATAGCTGAATCCTTTTAGTATTGAACAGAGACAACTACAAAAGAACATGGTTTAAGTAATTAAAATCCTCAAAGACACCAACCAAGTGAACCCAAAGGACAAAATTGACAGTGAAACGTAAACCACAGGACACAAATGGAAATTGTGAGGAAAAATGTTTAAAACCTAGAACGGGAAGCCCCCTTTGAGGGGTTTATGTTCTGTATCAAGCTACCAAGGAACATTACTTAAGCTGGTACCTTTGGATCCTTTAAAAAATGCCTGGAGTAAGATGCAATATCAATTAGCTACAAGCAAATGAGCTCAATGGACTGAATGGCCTCCTCTTATTTGTAACCTTTCATATGTTCTTAAATACTAGCATGGAAATGCCTAAGTGCCAAGACTCTTTTATGGCCTTTGGACAAAAGCACATTAGAACCGAGGAGATCTAAAAAAATGTATTTCAAGTCACAGCAGCTGTACCAAAATATCAGAATCCAATTACATTTCACATACAAATGGAAGTATAACACCAACATTTTCTGGGAAAGTTTTTGTATTTATGTAAAAAGGTCATTTTCCTCCATCACCCCATTAATGGAAATTTTCCTTAACATTTTACATAGTTGAAACTTTTAATCCATACAAACTTTCACTCTTCCCCAGAAGAGGTCAGTAAAGAGTTGGGAAAATGAAATCTTCAGATGGAACTAGCACACGATTTTGAAAATATATTTTAATCAGATATTATATTAATATTCCATTCACAGTATAAATATTTTATTAGGTGTCAGCTGCTGAAGTACTACAAATGTGCAAGTGGAAGCAAACTTAGGTATTGTTAGTTAGGTTAGTAACTGTAAGCTTTTTTATTTGATGAAGTGCTTTGTAAATGAATATGAGAAAGACCTTTTCATTTTTAAAAAGTAGGATTTGTTTTCCTCATTAAGTGGAACTTTGAATAAAATTGGCTTTATGTAATAGCTGTGTGTTAATGTTTGCGTGTTTACAAATTGGTACAGACTGAAATGCAGATGATCTGATTTTGTTGGAATGTGACATTTTCTTTTTTACTTTGTCCATTTCCTTGACCCTACTGCATACAGTTTCCACCTGCAGTTCCTCTCTGAAGAGGTCATTCCTTACTGATTGCTCTTCTCCAGTGGATTTCAGGCAAAACGTTTCTTTTTCTTTGGAGTTTCTCCACTTCATTCTCCGGTTTTGGAACCAGATCTTCACCTGAAACAAAATAAAACCAGACAAAATTAAAGGGGCTTTACTAGGTTATGGCCTATTAATTAAATATGTTAACATACTTAGAATTCACAATAAAGTATTCACACACAGTATTCACACACAGTGTCTGTACTTAAGAGGTGCACATTCAATGTTGAGATTACTGTTCTACTCAAATCAGTCCATCTCCAATCCATCATCTTAATATCTATCATTTTGGCATTGTACATCTCTGCTTGTATACAAAAAAAGTGTAGATATACAAAATCTAGAAAAAAACATTAAATGATTTGGATATGATATGGCTAAAATAGTTGAGGTCTAGTACAAAGAAAAAGTTGAGCCATATAGTTCAAACTTGTTGGCTTGGGTCCAGGTTAGCTCATTTACTGACTGTAATCCTGATTCTCTCGGTTTGTTATTTTTTTCCAACAACGACCCCTGGAATTTCCTGGCCTCCTGTGAGACCATGGTGTTCTCTGTGAAAGATACATGACTTCTTCATTTGCTGCTAACATTCCTGTATGGCACTGTTGCTCCCCTGTCAAGATGCTCACCAGTGGGCATACAGGAATAGAGTATTCACAACCCATGTCCTTTGCTGATATAGGAGTCAAAGATGCAATTGTAAAGTTCTAATAAATGGTAAAGGCAGGTTTCTTTAGAAACCCACTACCAAATATAACAATATCTACTGTACCTCCCAAAGCATGAAAAAATAATACCATAAACATTTTAATCTGCAATTGCTGTAGTATTCTAAAAAATAACATCTCTCTACACAGGAGGGAAAAAAATCAATTATTTGAACCCAGAATTTAATGGAAAAAGTTTAAAGAGGCCATTCCAGCAGTGCACATACTGTACATACAGGTATGTTAGGCATTCACAAAGTATTTTAACACTGTATGAGAATCCTGCTTCCAAACTTTGTATGGATGAAAAATATTTATTCCCACAGCTGGGGAACAACAATAACCATTAGTAAGTCATCACTATTTACTGTGTTAATCAAATCTGCAAAATCATAACTCACAAGAAACTGTAATTACATTAGGTTATGTTACTTTAATTAATGTATTAGAAACCTAACTATCTTGCAGTTCTATTGCATAAATTAAAATGGTTAGGACTGGATACTGTGCCTCTAATTGAAAGACTGACAGATTGAGAGATCAGTCAGGAAGCTTAACATAAGTAAGTGAACTCAGTTCCATCCTCTCAGTGCAGATAATTCAGACTGGCAGAATGTAAATCACGATACGTCGATATGACTTTCAGATTTACCTGAGATTCTTTTAATCCAAGTTGACTTGCCAGTTTGTTTCTGTCTGTCTTGCTGATATATTTCTGTCTCTCAAATGTCATCTCCAGCTCCTTCCTCTGTTCCTCGGAGAAGACTGCTCTCCTCAGGATACCTCTGCGTGACTTCGTATTTGTTCCATGTGACCACAGTGTCATACTACTTGCTCCTTCTAGGGATTAATAAAATAAAATTAATTCATCTGGATGACTGAGATCAAAACATCGATAAACACGATGAGACACCTGCTTAATTTAGAAATTTGAAAACATGTAATGTTCCTCATGGCGTAATCCTCTACATAATCTTCCAAAATGAATTTTATTATTACTAGAACATAAAACTTTTATTTGAACCCTTATATATTAATGGAAATATATGGTTTTAGGGTGGCAGAATGATCCATGTCCACACATTAGTTTTTTTGTCTCCATGAATAAGGCAATTTGTTAAAAAAATAAATACAAAGTAAATAAAAGGCTAAATTGAAAATATGCTTCAATACTATGTAAAAGCTCTTGTTTTTAGAGCTTTTTAGCTTCAACAATAGATAAGGTTATGAAACAGCTTGTTTTTCTAAATTTGGATTGTTCTCTACAGCAGGGTAAATAAATGGAGAACAATTTTATCCACTTAAAAACGGATGCATTGCTGGAGACAGGACAAGAGTCTTGTTTGTGTCCTCATAGCCTAATTCATCCTTTAGGGGAAATAGGAGAGATTTATGAAGTCTGAAATGCTGTATTTCAGCGTGCAAATGACAATCTGGAACAAATGCCAAATCATACCTTTAAAATAAAGTACACTTTGACATAAATATTCTACAAAGATTTTATATTACTACTGTCTACTTCTGTGCTACAAAGCATTAAAAATATTATTGGATCAATAAAGAATAAAAGAACTATTGGGCCTTTCTTGACCAATTCCATGTTGTTACATTCACAGGTGCACACACACAACAAAAGTCAATAAAGCAATTTCCCAATCCCATTGATGAATGTCTTTTTAATCTGTACAACAAATCTGTGCTAGGCTGGCACACAGACCACCTCGAAGGAGCGCATAAGGAGGTTAGTCACGGTCCCTATTTTTCCATTTAAATTCAATGCATTCTAGTTTAATGGACGATTAATAGGTCACTTGCAAAATACCAGTGTATCTGCCCTGCTTAATAAACAACTAAAATAGCTCACTAAACATTCCCTTATTCAGCCTGATTCCAAATAAAATCAGCTCCTCCACTTAATCATTTTATTTTCAGGTAGACAGGGTTGTATGGGAAGATGAGCTACATTAAGTCCATAAAAGTCACTTTCATTCATTGCTTTATGTTGCAAGTCAAGAGATTTAAATGGTGCTCAGGAACCAGGCTGGCATGTGAAGGACAGGAGAAAAGAGTGACACACAGAGCACTGCTTTCTGACCATACAAAAGGGCAACTGATCCCTGCCCAAGCCTTTTCGGAACGCAATGGTCTTTAAAGTTCATCGCCACAGTGAAAAATTGTGGCAAGGTCGCGTGTGGATGAGTAAAGTGAAAGTGGTGATTGGTCATGGTGCTGTCGTGCTTTGTTCTTTGGCCCAGCCATGTAAAGTGCTCTGTGGGAAAGTGTCAGCCCACTAAAAGGTGTTTAGGAGCTCACAACTCATTAAACTGCCAGCATTTGCTGCCTCACTTGTCAAGAATTACTGGACTTAGCAACCTTCCTTGGAACTTCAGCATATCCCAAAAAATGTCAACTGGGCCGTCCAGCTTTCCAACAAATAAAAAGGAGCTGAGTGTTTTACAGAAAAGGAATACACTGTGTACTTGCACTGGCATTCAAAAGTTTTGGGACCCTTGGATAAAATTACTGAAATACAAACAAGAAAAGAAAAATATCAACAGAAACTACTGTATGATTAATTTGAAGCTTTCTGCTTTCTCAGAATATCACACAGAGGATGTTTCTCTGGCATTTTACCATGGTAAAGCCATCAAAATATCTTCCCCTGTCAGCAAACACAACTGCATGTACATTCTGTCACCTACAGTAACTTAAGTAGTTTATTACTATTTTTGTACTTTTGGTGCTTATTATGTCCTGGAGCTATGTGTAAGATAGAACATACTGTATATATATGTTTACTATTTTTTTAACTCTGCTGTCAAGCACATCCATTAATGCGATAGTTTTGTTTCAGGGAACTGGCAAGATCAGCACATCAGCTTTCAAATTTCTTACTCGTCTTTCTGATTGAATCATCCTATTCTTCCTTATCATGCTGTATCCTCTTCAGGACAGATGAAGAGTGAAGAGTGGTTTGTTTTCAGCACAATACTGACCCTAAACTCTCAGGCTAAATCTGTTCTTATCTTCATCTACAGTTATAAAATGGGCTTGGGCAGCTAAAGAAGGAAACTTTCATGACAACAATTTGCTGCAAAATAGCACTGAAATGTATTTTTGAGATACAGATTTTGTATGAACACTTTGCAAAGTTAAAGTGAATCTCCTTTCAAGTGTCATTGCTGTGCATCACTACTAGAGACAATTAAAGGGAACTGTTAAATGAAAAGCTCTGTGTTGTCTTCTCTAATGGGCATTAACACTTCATGCTGTGTTCACTCACACCGTTCATAAAACCTCATGAAAAGAGATAACAGATGATTATGAACATTTCAGCTTTGTAGTATTGTTAATTGTGCACCATTCTCCGAGAAAGTATAGGGGGGCTTCCCTGGTAATAGAAGCCCCCCACTTGATAAATCGCTGTGAATCTTATGAATAGTACTGCTGAGGTTTTATTTGAGAATTAGCTCTTTGGTATTGCATCTGTAATTAGTTTTTCAGACCACATTAAATCCTGCTGCTCTGGTTTACAGATGAACTCAAGCATTGCTGATGAAGCATAAAAACTTACTTGAAAAAGCAGTGGGGGAGGTAGAGGGGGGGAAGGACCCACCACAGCATGCCAGAAGAAACTGCGGACCTCTTGGTAAGAAACTTGTCACCAGAGCTGTGAAAAGAAACCAATAATGTGGGAGAGAAGAAGGCAGGTCTTGTTTATCTGTATTTGTCTTGGTCAAAGAGTCTGCAAAATGTTGCACATACAGTACTTTCTTTCAGAAAACCTATGCTGTGAAGACCAGATATGTAAAACAAGTACTGCAGGATACATGTAGCATTGTTTCTCTGAATATAGAGGAAATTGCCAACAAATTGCAAATAACATGCTAAGAATAAACTTTTAGCTCAATTTAGAAGCACACAATGTTTGTTGAGAAATTCCAATTTGTGATGATTTCATTCTGCAAAAAATGAAAACACCAAAGAAAAATATTAACGACTGAAATTTTCTATCTGAAAAAGAAAGAAAATGCTTTTTGATGTTGAGTCCCATCATAATTAGCATTTTGTGCAATAATTTTTGTCATAGTTAAGGCAGAGCAAAAACATCAAATTAAATGAAAAACAGATCCCTGTTGAAAGTCTCATAGAAATCATAGATTGATTGGAGCTAAAGTCTTTGCAAGGTCATTTGTTTGTTGATTTGGTTAGCTGTTTATTAGTTTCTAGAAAACATTGATGGGAATAGAAAATAAAATTAAAGAAAAGATTTGAAAAAGAAAGATGTTTGAAATATTCAGAAACAGAAATATCCCAGAAATATAACAAAAGCAGGGTTATTGTGATGACATGTAGCATAAGATGAATCTTTAATACTTAGTACTTCCAAACCTGTCTTAACTAATTTCTTAACAGATTTCAGAAAAACATTTTTAATCCAATTTGAACACGTTCTGTGTTAACATTTGTAAATAACGTTAACATAAAGTTTAAATGCTGTTGCTCTTCATATTTAGTATCACACTAATTATATCACGTTCAGACATTCCTCAGTAACTTTCCAACAATTGAAAAAATTATATTAATATAATATTATTGTAAGACTATACTTTGTCTAAATTCTGAAATCAAGCATTTGTGCAGCAAATCTGTCAATTTTTAAAGCAAAAGTGTGCACATTTAAAACACCTGTATTTCAAAACACCATTATGTCAATAAATATGTGGTTTTATAGAGTGCCTTTAATCTTAAATTGTTTCATTTTGTAATTTTTATATATTTTTCAAAATTGGTGCCAATTAACAAAGATATTATTTATAAGTGTTTTTTAAGAAATTAAATCTATTTGTAAAGGACATAAAGGACAGTTCTTTCAAATAAGAACTACGTTTAGCATTTACTGTAAGCAGTTACATTCATCCATTTTGAAGTATATGAATCTTCAACATAAATATGAAATTGTTCATTATGTTAAATAATTCAGCATTTTTTAAAAAACAATGAGATTAATTATATAAAAAATCAGGTTTATTTATCTTTTTAAAAAATGTATTTGACTTCCAGGAATCTTACCTTGGTGTCAACTGAGGTAAAGAAACATCAACACTAATTGTGTTAGTGAAAATATGCTAGTTCAGATGACCTACAGCTAATAGGAGCCCAGTGATCCATCAGGTTCCTAATTTTTGATTGTTCACCCTGAAGTTGGCAGTTAACAGAAAGAGTTGCTAAAAAGACACAGGTGGTTGTAAGATTTCATAAGAAATAAAGATGTAAGTATACATTCAAAGTAAAGGACTTGTTGCCGTGTCTTTGTTCTCTAAGAGCTATGCCTGTTGATCACACATTAGGTAAGCGTCACTGCAATTCTGTCTACTCTGCCTGTAAGCTGTACTTTTCCTCTTTCAGCAGTCAATCCACTGCTCAGTGAGTAATTTCATATTTCCCCTTAAAACCCAGTGCATCTTTCACACGGCTGCCTGCTTATTTGTTTGCACAATTATTATTTTTTCACTAATTGAACTCAGCTAGCATTTTAGCAAATCTCTATAGAACATTATAACGATTGTGCCAAAGTTCTCCACACATTCACAGGTCTCCAGTGCTAATAATACAGCACCTTTAGAAAGCCTTTTCAGGTGACCTGGCCCTGGCACTATCTCTTATCAGTTTAATGAGAACATCTCCATAACATGTAGCCAGACTAGTAAGTGTCATAAAACATCCACATAACTGTGAACAAAAATTAAGGCAAGAGCTAAATTGGAAGTTACACGTATCTCATCTCTAATTCTGTCATCAAGAATGTTTTACAGTTTTCAATTGCAGTTTAAAATGTTAGAATAGTCAAACATGAAGCCCTGTAATTCCTCCAGTAGCTAATTTAATACAAACTCTCTGCACCTTGCAGAATGAGTCCTTTATCCCTTCGATAAGAGTTTTGTAGCCAGACAAAATCAGATTTGATTGATTGATTGGCTATATTCTATTTGCATCTGGATATAGTTAAAAAATATCCTATGGTCTTATACATTTAAATCTTTGTAAAACCTGTATAATGGAAAATTATGATGGTGGTGTCTTCTTTGCACAGAATCTAAATAAAATATTTGAACCTTAACTAAAGCGATAATAGGTGTTTTAACTGCAAAGGTAAAGCTAAAAAGTATTGTTTTAAATTAAGTATTCAAGTCAAAAGAAAACAAAAACATTAAAAATGAGATTCTGGCTCCTCACAAATTCCACTAGGGATTTTAACATTAAAGTTATAGATTAAACAAAGCTCTTTTCTGGTCAGAACTTTTTTTTTCATTCCATTCTTTAATAGCTAAGCACATAACTTATACTCAACATAACAAGATTCTTCATATTGATGCACAGGATATAAATTTAATTTCTATCTAAATTCCCCAACACAACATCTACTATTGGTTGGCATATTAAATGAATAAAATAATTAGAAATGTTTGTTGTGTATTTATTATTTTCCAAATGTAAGACTTTCCTGTCAACAACCAACATGTAAAAACTGTAGAAATTGTGAAATTTCTCTTCTAAATTGAGTTAGACAGTGAAATTTAATCATCATTTAACCACAAACAAACGTTTGAACATTTTAAGTGTGGAATTCAGAAACCCATATAAAATTATTCTTTAGGTTGGTGAGCAGTCTTACATCATGAAATATTTTATATGTATTGTGTGTATAATCTGTATGTATTTTTACATTTCACATTCACATTCTGGTGAATTAATTTACTAAGAGTTTATTTTCAAAAGTCTCCACTAAACTAAATATATCAAATGTGTAAATATTTGCAACTCTAAAACAAAAGCTTACAAAGTCCACTGTTGATATGCTGTTAAAAAATGTAAAATCGAAATTCAGTTGATTATTTAGACATTATTCTCTAAATCTCCACTACTTGATTTACTTGTACATCTTTCTGATCTGTACATTGTAGATTGTACATCTTTACTTGTAAATATTTTTGATATTATAAGGAATTAAGCAAAAATAAATGTCAAATATTTTTAATTAGTAAGTCTGTACTGTGTATATAAACAATCTATATCCACAACATTTGTTAGCATTGTAACATTGTAATTACCTCAATTATCCTGTCATTACTGCATCATTGTAAATAGACTATTTACTGAAATGACCTAATTTAATATTTCAAATAGAATATATTCGCTTAGGATTGCACAAGTAGGATACAATATACTTAATTTCAAGCTAACATAAATTACTTCTTATAAAGTAAAAGATTTTGGACACATGGGAAAAAAACTGCCATTTAACTCACAGTATTGTTCGACTTAAAATGTCAGGATACAGGAAAACCCAGCTTACTACCTCAGTGCTGGGGCAAATAAGTAGTCTCCTTAGTTTTAACACTGCCATTATTTGCTGGAGTCAACAAAGAAGCTTACTTTTACCTGTTTGAGGCTGAAGGATACAATCTCTGTTTAGTGACTGGACGCAGCTCCTGTCTTCGGGGTTAACAAGTTGAGAAACCCATCTTGTACTATATGGACCTCCTGTTGGGCTGCTTTGTTCCACATTTGGACACAGTTTCACTGGTGTTGGACTTGCAGGCACCCTGGGGACTGTCTGAGAAGCCCCTGCTCTCAGCAAATTGTCAATAAGAAAACTCTTCCCTGAGTTTCCAAATCCTGATGTTTTAGGTGCATTAAGCAAGACAGGAGAGCCTGCCATTTCCCAGATCAGATTCTGGTTTGGGATCATGCTGACCGCTTCAGAGGGTGGTAGTAACCCAAAGGCTCCCTCCTTCCTCTGGATCTGAGAAACTGAAACCTTAATGGTTGCTTAAGACCACCAGTTATCCTTCCAAGTGAAGCAAAGTTTTGATAAAATCCAAGCAAACAAAGATGTTTTTCCTTTGGGGTTTCAGAGTTTCTGGGTGTCCTGTGATTGGCTCTGAGGTCCTAATGTGATTCTCAATTCAGATAAGAAGAGTGCTATTCTGATGGGCGGAAGGTGTGTCCGACTCATTCATTATGTCAGCTTGACTATAAAATGATAGACATCAGAGACAATGAACTGCTGGCCAAAGTTTAACTTATGGACCAAACAGACTTCTCATGCAGAAGTTTTCCTTCCCTTACTAAAACTGTTCAAAGGTTATTTTTCTCTTTATGATATAACTTTTTGGAATGTTAAAACAAGTATGTTAAAATTTTTAGCAGTCAATATATCTTAAAATTATCTAACCTCTTAACCTTATAAACTACATACCAAATTGTAAACAACAATTTGACCTAAATATATATTTATACAACAAAAAATAACATTTCTTACGATGGCTGAATAAATAATTACAAAAAAAATAATATCCAAAAATCAATTGAGTTTCGGTAAGTGCATCAGACATGTGTACATAAAACCTTGTATGATTTGTTTGTTATACACATCGTTTCAGATGACTTCATGCTGCCAGAGATCTGCACAAACAAAGCACCTAGCAGTTTTCTGAGTTCAGGAAGTGTCATTAATATACTTTTCACAACCTTAAAAAACAAAGAATTCTAAAAGAAATATTAGTTTCCACTTAACTACTAACACAAGATTATTATTATTATTATTATTATTATTATTATTATTATTATTATTATTATTAAACCCCCTAATTTTCCCCGTAAGAATGTGCATTCTCTTACTCAATAAAACAGTAAGAAAATAACCAGGTAGAAAGTTTTTAGTCTTTGAGGCCTTATTTAGCGACCTCTAGTGACAAATTGGTGGTTATTACAGTCTGTCCATGGGACAACCTGCGACGCAGAAAAGTTCATACACAAAATACATTTGATATTAACAAGCCTTTCTTACATTTATTTTCTTTATTCTGAAAGGAATGTATTCTGGTTTCTCTTTCTGCTCTCCCTTTTGTGAGGTTAAGGGTGCAGACTCTACCTGTGGTTTGAAAGGTTTTGTGTTTTGAGAAATTAATCGTCCATTCTTTTTCTTCATTTAAATTCAAAATAAGCTAAGCATTTGTCTTTATTCATAGAAAGGGCTGATGAAAAATTCCTCTCCGTAACAATGTGTTCTAAATATCTACCATAGTTATACTGTATCTTGCAAGCAGCCTGGGCAAATGAAAATGTTTCTTGAGCGTCTCATTTTCTGAAATTTGCCACTCAATGAACTGGAAAAGTGTGTCCTTCTGTTTTGGATGAATTGTACTGTATGTGGTACAGTTTTAATACTGCAATTTGTTTTTTTAATGCTGCCTTCTATTCCTTTACTGTCAGTTCTGTGCTTCATTTTTGAGACAAACCACTGCAGCTTTCCTTAGGAAATACTTAGAATCCTTACTTGTTTAAAATAAAATTTAACATTTATCACGTGATGAATATTTTTGTTATTAGTTTTCATAAGTTCTCCTAAAAGAGAAGCTTTAAGCTAAATACGCAAGCAGACATATTTTTTCCTAAGGGAACAAAGACAGACAGTATTAAATACCTTATTAAGCAATTGTGCATCCCATGTTTGCTGTCGGAAATACTGTCAACATGCATTACAGCTACTGTGAAGTTATTTCAAACTTCCCTGAAGGAGAAAAAAAGAAAGGGGTAGGATGCACATAATTTTGCCAAATCTTTTTTTTAATCTAATTATGGCAAAAAGAGACTTTACCTTTGTTTATGAATTACATAACAAGATGGTAGATGGAAAAATTAGAAGATATGCAAAAACAGAATCTGTATATATGCATATATATTATATATTGTATACAGTATTTTGCATGTGCTTTCTGACATTTGGTATATTACAATATTCATATATTAACAATGCATAAAAATATATATTTTGAAGGGTTTCTTCCTATCAAAATGTCCTTTATCCCACCTGGGTTGTTACACAGGGTTTGCTTGATCAGGTGGTTGTTTTGAACGAAGGTGGATCATACACTCTTAATATGCTAATGACTCCTCAACATGATGGTCCAGCCAAAACAAGTTTCAGAACACACTTCCTCTCTTTTTCCCTGAAGTATGAATTTTTGCTGCATGATTAAATCCAGTAAATAAGTGTACCTTTGATGTGTGCAAACAACACCTTTGCAGATGGAAAGGCTCATAAGTACACTTTTCTTCAAAAGCAAATTGTCAAATATTTTTTCACATCATACTCAGGAAATGATGAAGATGTGCAAAATTACATTGCAGTCTTATTATTATGCTCAAAGAGGTTAGCATTGCATAATTAATAATTATGGGTGAAATTGTGTGCTAGGTTTCTCAAGGGTTTTCCAATACTTTGCTCTCTCTAATGAAACATTTATTTTAATATCAAAGAAATTCAAAATATGAAGGGATATTGAAGTTTCAATTAATACACAATTGTTTCAAGAATACAATGATATTGGAGAAGCTTTGTGAATAGTAAGAAAGACATGGAACTCAATGTTACAAACTCATGGTACTAGAAGGCTTAACTATCTCGAAATTGTAAAAATAAACAAAAAATAATTAATTTGAAAGTCGTATACAAGTTTTCATTGTTTTCATTGTTAAGTTTCAAATTAAGTTGTTGTAGCTTAAACCTTTTTATTATGGGTTAATAAGACAGTGCTTTATTGTTAAGACTATTAGAGCTACGTTAGTTGATCATATGTCGTTGACTAAACTACCTTGTTCTGAAAGGAAATTTATTAAGATAAAGCAAAGAAGCACAGTTAAGAACTATTTTAGGATTTCCCAGCTGTCTATGTGCAATATTGCAACAGATATGCAACAGATACAGATACCTCTTTTATTTTCTAAAACAAAGTGATCAGTGATCAAATGTGTACAAATATGGAGTGAGAAGTTGAAGGATAGTTTTGTCTTCTCTTGTGCTGTGAATATAGAGCTAACTGATATTCACCACTACCCCACCCCACCCCCATATTAAATCCATCCATCCATTTTCAACCCACTTCATTCATTTCAGGGTCATGTGGGAGCCAGAGCCTGTCCCGGAAAGTAACTAGAGCTGGACGGGATGCTAGTTCATCAGAGAGCACACACAGACAGGCACAGACCACCAGGGCCAACTGTCCCATAAACCAGTTACCTTACCAGTATGTCTTTAGACTGTGGGTCACCATGCTGTCTCCCATTATAAATACAGTACAAAATGATTAGAAAGGTTGAGAATAAGAGAAGGCTATTTGGCATATCATATTACCTAAATGAACCAAAGAAAATAATCTCTTCAATGCAGTACACTTACAATCAGATGATTGTAATTTGGGGGATTTTACATGCAGAAACAAAAATACCATACAACAAGGACTAGATGACTTGTGAAAGCACATTAGGCAACATCTCTGTTATCTGATAGCTAATTTATGTCTTAAGTTGTTGGCGGTGCTTCTTTGTTAATGAATTGTCCGAGTATTGAAGAGTTTTCTCTATTCTTCTTTCAGGGTTTACATGTTTGTTGCAAAATACATACAGAAAATTTTAGTTGGCATGTTAGCATATCTTCTAAGGCAGCAACTACTGATTGTAAAATTGGCAGCTCTGTATAAGCTGCAGTAGTAGTTCAACTATGATCTGCAAAATTATAATAATTGCTTACGTTAATATAGTGCTTTTCTGGACATTCCACTCCACTTTAGCCAGCAGCCATATCACCCTGCAACTCACAACTGGCAACCCACTAAAGCTAAGCAGGTGTGAGCCTGGTCAGTACTTGGATGAGAGACCTCCTGGGAAAAACTGAGGTTGCTGCTGGAAGAGGTATTAGTGGGGCCAGCAGGGGGTGCTCACCCTGTGGTCCACGTGGGTCCTAATGCCCCAGTATAGTGATGGGGACACTATACTGTAAACAGGTGCCGTCCTTCAGATGAGATGTAAAACTGAGGTCCTGACTCTCTGTGGTCATTAAAAATCCCAGGGTGTTTCTCGAAGAGTAGGGGTGTAACCCCGGCGTCCTGGCCAAATTTCCCATTGGCCCTTACCAATCATGGCCTCCTAATAATCCCCATCTATGAATTGGCTTCATTACATTCTGCTCTCCTCCCCACTAATAGCTGATGTGTGGTGAGCGTTCTGGCGCACTATGGCTGCCGTCGCATCATCCAGGTGGATGCTGCACATTGGTGGTGGTGGAGGGGAGACCCCATTACCTGTAAAGTGCTTTGAGTGGAGTGTCCAGAAAAGCGCTATATAAGTGTAAGCTATTATTATTATTATTATTATTATTAAAGCACTTTACAGGTAATGGGGACTCCCCTCCACCACCACCAATGTGCAGCACCATCTGGATGATGCAATGGCAGCCATAGTGTGCCAGAACGCTCACCACACACCAGCTCTCAGTGGGGAGGAGAACAGATAAAGCCAATTCACGGATAGGGAATATTAGGAGGTCACGATTGGTAAAGGCCAATGGGAAATTTGGGCAGGACGCCGGGATGACACCCTTACTCTTTTTGAGAAACACCCTGAGATTTTTAGTGACCACAGAGAGTCAGGATTTCAGTTTTATGTCTCATCTGAAACACAGCGCCTTTTAACAGTATAGTGTCCCCGTCGCTATACTGGGGTATTAGGACCCACACAGACTGCAGGGTGAGCACCCCCTGCTGGCCCCACCTCTTCCAGTAGCAACCTTAGTTTTTCCCAGGACGTCTCCCATACAGGTACTAACCAGATTCACACCTGCTGAGGTTCAGCAGGTTATCAGTTGTGAGGTGCAGGCTGATATGGCTCCTGGCCAAAAGCCCATATGGCAAGCAAATAGTTTCAACAAAACGGCAACAGAATGAATGAACACATTGGCATTTCTTAGATATGTATTGAGCCCATTTCCTACCTATAACAGAAAAAGAAATTCTGACTTTAAAATATACACAAATAGTTGCTGAAAGTCAATATTA